TTATATTATCATCAGACAGCTTTTGTTGTTAAATCCTAGCCTTGGTGACTGCAGATGAAATGGAAAGCTCTGCCGTGCCTCATAGATACTGAATTTGGAACCATGGGCTGTATCTTTCTGTTAGAAAATGAGCCAGTCACAAGGCAGTCTAACACCTGTCACTGCTTTTACAAATCCAGCTTGCAAAGAATGGTGCAGTTGACTTTCCACCACCTTTGTGCCATCCTGCCTTCGTTATATCCTGTGCCATGTTAACATTCACCTGATAAAGCACAGCATGCCAATCTCTGGGCACCACAAGCACTGTAGACAAGAAGAGGGCAAGATGCATCACTCGGTACTCAATTACCATAATCCCTCGTTGCTCTGCTCCAAGGTGTTGACTTCTGTGCGAGGTTTCTGTCTGCCTGGTTCATTTTACTATACAGACTGACTGAAGCACTTGGTATGTGTTGTCACATGGAGGATAAATGACTGTAAGACTGAGGAGTGGAGCAGAATGAAACGGCACTAAAGAGATCCTCATCAGCCATGCATGGAATTTCAGCCAAAACTTACATTAAGACAGCTGCATTCTGTGACTCAATTAGAAACGAGTGGCTGCATTCTTTTTTTAAAAACTGAATTCGAAAAGAGCAACTTCTGACGCCTTGAGCGGGGAGATGGGGGACTGTTTAAAAAAGGAGTAATCTAAATCTTCCTCTAAGCCCATGCTAGTGGACACAAATAAGAGATGCAAAGTAAGGTTGGCTATTGTGGGATTTTTTTTTCTAAATCCAGCAGCATGTAGAAGAGAACAAATAAATTCCATGCTGTCTCTGAAATGAAAGCTACAGCCAGCCCCAGGACTCCCGGGTGCCTTTGGAAAGTGATATATAGACCACTGTGCTGGTCTCAAGTGTTGTCATGGCAAGTTAGTAGCAAAGCGGTTTGCTGCATCCTCATAAAAACCAACAAAGGGCTTCACTGTACATGTACATATTCGCCTCTATATATACATGCACATGTTTGCAGCACTGCGGAGTAGGGCTGAAGAACCAATCTTTACTTTATAAAAAAAAAATTGATTTCATTAATGCGCCCTCATGTCCTGTGGCCACATGTAATCCGTTGAGAATTCTTGAGCCTGAGCTCCAGGAGACAAAAAGAAGTCAGTGAGAAGACTCCTCGAGTGGCCTGTAATGATAGTCTCTACCTAATCCTATAATTCCTTGTTTAATTAAACTCCAAAGCTGACCAGGAGTGCCAGACATTTTGCTGGTTCTTTTTTCATTATTTAGCGGCACAGGAGGGGGGGCGGGGGGATTTTTTTCCCTTGTTCTTCTTCTTTTCCTTTATTTTTCGGCACACCCTCGCCTACAGAGACACACACACATCCACTTGAATTACAGGGACGTGCGGGCTCACGCCCACAGGCACAAGAAGGCGTCCCGTGACCCTTGGATCCTGACAGCCCCCACCTGTTTTGGGGTAAACAAACACGCTACCAGCTTAACAGTTTTCGGTAGTAGCTCGCGCAGCACCGATCCGAATTCCGAATCTCACGACGCACGTCATGCTTTGTGGGGGTTTCTGCATGGGACAAGGCTGTGAGCCAGTGCTTCTAACTCAGCCCAGTGAATTGTGTTTAGATCTCAGTGAGCAATTACAATAGTCCACACTGGCCAACAATCCAGCAGTCACACTCTGTCTTCCACTCCCTTTCCCTTTCTGTCCATATCATTAGTGGGAAATGTGGCAGATGCACTTCGCCTGTATTATTTTCCTCTACAAGTGTTAGAAGGGTTTGACAGTAGACTGATTCTCCCCACCCAAAGAAGCCTCCCTCTTCCAGCACACACCTGCCATTTCCCACTGTGCATTCTTCATTGTGCCTACATTCCACCTGGGAGAAAGAAAGATACTGTCTTCCTTCATTTGACAAGTGTGTATGTGTGTGTGTTTGTTTAGGGAGGTGTTAAGGCTAAGCTGTTAAAGACCTAGACTGTGTAAAACTTCCAGCTTCTCTGCGTGCCCCACACCTGTCCCCCTAGGCACTCTTCACATTAGCAGGGGAGCAGACACTGGAGACATCTAACAGCTACCGCAGACCTCTTCACAGACACGTACAGCAATTGTGTAAATCCATTGTGTAAAATCCCTGATGGCTGGCAGCACTGGATTCAAGTGATAGCTGTGCTTTGGATGCAGTACAGTATTTGTTAATGTTTGTTTTTTTTTTTGTTACTAGCAGTGTGACAGCTGGAATCACAGGGAAGATTAAAGCAAGGCTGATCATGTTCGTTTTGAACCCTACCATGAAAGTAAAGGAATCATGTAAATTGAAGCACCAATCGTGGAAAAAATAAATAATACTTTTTTTTCCCTCAAACTGCCTTCATGATTTTGTTTCCTAAAACAATGAAAGAGAGTATATGCCACTTGACAGATCAGAGCTGGTTATTTTGGGTCATTCTTTAAGTGCAACAGTGTGTACCTGGAAGCTGTAACTCACAAGTCAGTTATAGATAGCTAAGCAGAGTTGGTACGTTAAAGTAGTACTTTACCTATGTAATATATTGAACAGAGCCATGCTAGTACCTGAGTTTCAGGTCACTTTCAAGAATATGATTCCACCCATTCAACCTGTGGTAGGTAGATGACAACTTTAACTGCTCATGTAGGCTACATCAGAACTTTTTCCAACTAAGCATCTCTGTAGTGATGATAGCTTGTATGACAGTGCAAACAAAAGAGACATCAGCCTTGTGTTTCTAATGTGAGCATACTGCAGGATTGTTGGTTTTGTGCAGTGCCGAGAAAGTAAATGTGCTGTGTAAAGTGGCCAGTCTTCCAATGGCAGGGTTTGATGAGAGTTTAACAGTCGGTGAAGAGTCTTCCCTGATTACCCGAGCTCCCATCGCCACCCTTTCTCCACACTGGCTAGTGAAGGATCTGCCGCCTCTGCTGGAAGCAATCGGCTGTACTCCAAGCGAACTGGCAAGCCTGTATAAATACCTTTGAATAAGAAATAAGAGTTCAGCCATCCCTAATTTGGAATCGCTTAAATTTCAACAGAAGTCATGGCCCTGATTAAGCACTGTGTCTGGAGGAGAGGACCTCCAGTGCTGGCAGGAGGATTTGTAGGGATCAGCCGTTCAACTCCTGAAACTCAAAATAAGAAATAAAATAAAACAAAATCAAGGGGCAAAAAAAGACGAGTTCTGCTGGGGATCAATACGACGGGCGGAAAGCGGTTATGGGGTGAAAAGAAAGGAAGAAATATGTCATTTGTCAGTCTTTTTTTCCTTTGTTTCTCAGGGTGTCTGTTCCCTGGTTGTAGGGCTGAGGAACAGATGCCACCTACACCCCTTCTGGAAAGTGCTTCCTTGAGTGTTGCTCATTTTAGACCATGACACGATTGCCCAATAAGAAATGGATAAAATACGATTTCACCTATGGGACATACTGGTCAAGAAAGGCACAGCCATAAAAATATCATGAATATGACTCCCCTACTTAAAATTAATTTTCTTCAGAAATGAGACTTCAAAATTGCAGGACAAATTAAAAATATGTATAATTACATGCCTCCTGATACCAGTATTTGCAGTGCACATTTTAAATAATCATGTAATTCATTATGTTGATTTATTTTTATATTCATGTATTACCCTTACAATTAAGTGAGGAAGTTTGACAACAGTTACAGTATTATTCATTTGTATTTAGTATGAAGGTGGCTAATTAATTGTATTTGTATATTCTCCTCAGGTTTGTAGTGTTTTTGAGATTAGAATGAATTTTGAGAGAATATGAATTGTAGGACATATGATTGCTAATTAGCTCTTTCCATGTAATAACATTAGAAAACAGAACTGTCTAACAAGATGTTCAGATCTAATTAATGTGCATATTTCCCATGATTCATAGCAGCTTTCACTGATCAAAGTACAGATATACTGTACCACTCTGGTGACCCATGATAATAGTGAAATAGATGTCTGTGGTTACTTACTTTGACTAAATATATACTGTACTGTGAAGAACAAGAAATTAATTCATATATATCTTTATGTCCAGACCCCTTATCTCTGGACTGAGAAGTGTCCAAACCACTCAAATATTATCCTAACATGCAAAACATAATGCAGTACTATACCTGAAGTGGTAGACTGACTAAAAAATTAAAAGAAAGTGTGCTTCAGTTATTTTTCAGCTCAATGTGCAAGTGCATGTTAATTGTGAGATGTGACAAAACCAGCGCAATATTATATTGCAAATATTTACACATTGCTGTTTTCCTCTGCGAGCCCCCAGGCGCTTGTAAAAGAATAGTGCTACATGGATCGCCAAGGTGGTCTGGGCAGATTAACACCCCCCACCACTCCACTGTGGCTGCAGGGCCTGTTCGGATGTATTCTGATGCAGGATTGTGTTCACAAAGGCCTCTCATGTATAAATAACTATAGATTAAAATAATATTTGCTGTCTCCAGCTTGCCAATAGTGAAAGTCATAGGAAACTGTATCATTCTAATCCCCCCCACACACACCCAATCACTATGGAAACAGCCATATCTGTTCTTGTGGCCCACAGATGTCCTGATGGTTACTTTTGACGTCTTTTTCCCTTCTTTTCTCCCATTAATACACAGTTTTCATTGGGGGCAAGTAAGCCCGAACACCAGAGATGTGATTTGTGTAGCAAGACTTCACAGGTCACGTCAAAGGAAATATTCCCAAATAAAAACAAAAACGTTCCCCCTCTGTCTGTTTGTCGCTTTTCATCTGATGACATATTAAAAATGGTGTCAAGGTGCTTGGCAGACTTTTAAAACAGAAGGCTGTTTTTATTTTTCAGTTTACCTGAAACCCAGAAGAGGACAAAAGCTGCGTGGTTTGTCTTGAGGCCTACTGGTTTTCAGGCAATAGGGAACAGTCTAAGGAGCTTCCAATGCTGTCGGTCAGGCAGTGGAGGACTCCTTGTGCTGAGGTGCCTTCTCATCCCTGTTCCGTCAGGCAACCGCATGGACGAGAGCTCAGACGTGGAGTCGGAGCCGGATCTGCCCCTGAAGCGCAAGCAGAGGCGCAGTCGGACCACCTTCACGGCGGAGCAGCTGGAGGAGCTGGAGAAGGCCTTCGAGAGGACGCACTACCCAGACATCTACACCCGCGAGGAGCTGGCCCAGAGGACCAAGCTGACAGAGGCCCGCGTGCAGGTCAGAGGCTTCACACTGCGGGCACGGGGGCTGGGAAGCTTTATGGTTTTATCTTTCATTTGATTTCCTTCATCTACGCTAATCTGACTTCCTTTCCTGAAGGTTTGTGAGTATTAATAGACTAGATGAGGAGGGCCACAGTCCAGACTATTTTATAGGGCTTTCTAAATTTCCAGTGCAACAGGGCTCATGCACTGAGCCAGCTACAGAAGTGACGTCACGGCTTTTAACAGTCTAGTAATATTTGTAGAAAACACTAGTGGAGGCTAAAATAAATAATAAAACATTCTTCCAGTACTACAACAGTAAAAGAACAACAAAAGATGTTTTGGGGATAATAATGGGGAATTTCTAGAAAATGAAAGGGAAAAGGCTGATTACTAAATGAGTATCTCACTCAAGAGGTCACTAAGGAAGAAGTCAACAACATGCCTCAGCAGAAAGTTCTTTATAAAATAGTACTAGCACAGAAGAGTCAGCAGGGGTTTGGATACTGGAAGCACTCAAGATTATTAACTCCCCAGGGCCTGATGGTATCTTTCCAATTGTACTCAGTGAAACAAGATATTATTCATAAGCTATTGACACAACACTTCCAACAGTCGCTCAGGACAAAGGTAGTACTACCCATGGACTGGCGAACTGCTAATGCAGAAAATGACGTGGGGGCTTGATACACGTGTTCAAGGTCTTTAAAGGCTGAGACAAAGTCAACCCAGCTGATATCTTGAGAATGAACAGTGAAACATGAACCATGTTCCACAAGTGGAAACTACATGGAAGAACAATGTTAGAAATCACTCTTTGAGCATCTTGGGGTGCTGCAGAAGAGAATAATTACACTTCGTTCTAGGGTTCTGTTTGAAATGAATGTCAAATGTAAAAGCAAAAGCCAACATGAAAAGAATTATAGGAAAGTACAGTACATAGTGGAATATTGTGCAGTTGAAAGTATGTAGTATCAAATTTGAGTAACATATAAGACTATTCTTTCCAGTCACAAAAATAGATGAGAATTAGAATTGCAAGAAATTGACAACACCTACTGACAACCTATAGGTCTAGCTTTGCATGTGTGGCTCACAGTTAGATTTTTTCTCGGCACTTCAGTGAGTTCAGAATTATTCACCACAATCAAGCTAATAAGATGATTGTGTCCCACACACCCCCTAAATCAACAGTTTCATTGCATATAGGTCCACCTCCTCCTGTCATAGTGAGTTGATTTAAGCACAGTGGACAACTGTGCAGTAGACAACCAGCTTATTTGTTTGTTTGTTCAGCAGTATGAAATATATTTAGTATAGAATACATACTGTTTGTTCAGCAGTATGAAAACTCAGTATTACATTTCAGGAATGCTTTTCTTTCCAGTGGTGTGAGGTACTTGGTAATGAATGGCTGTGCACATTTATTTTGACTGAGAAAGAAAAGATAGAAGCTACAATGAAAGGCTCAGATTAGGCATAGAGAAATCAATATGTTTGCACTGCTGGCTGGAATGCGCAGAGGGTTAAGGAGTGTTTCTTAGCTGTTACCACCTCCTAGCCTGATCTTGGCAGACCTCGGAAGTTAAGCAAAGCTAAACCTGGTCAGGACTTGAATGGGAGACCTCAAGGAGAAGCAGGTGGTGGCTGTAAGTAGTATTTCCAAACCAATTCTCCAGTAAGGAGACTGGGAAACCTTTGTTGCGTTTCAATGAAACATTAATCCAAAGGCCTGACTACTTGGTCTTGACATATCCCAGGGGACTCTTTGTTTATCCAGGTTTACACAATCTAGGCTTCCCTACAGTTCTCCCTTCATTTTATTGGTGAAGCAGTTTCTTGCTTCTCCGCCTGGTCCACTGTGTAGTGGGTCTACTGGCACAAAAAGGATGCTTCTCCTCACCCTGGTGGACTGCAGTGCAGTGGTATATGCAGGGGCCACCCCCCTACTTGTAAGCACTTAAGAATGAGGAACTGCTGTATAAAAACAATTCATTAATAATGATTATTAATTAGATTGATTAACGTTTCAGAGTCAGGTCTCAAGGGCTGAACATCCTAGAAAATTATTGATTTGTACCTACATCTCTCATCCCTCATCTTAAAAAATATTAGTTTCATGGGACACACACAGACAAACTTACAGAATAGACACAAACACGCTCTAACCCAGAGCCTGTGCACAGATGAGATGAGAGACAAAGGGCTAATAATTTATAGGATTAATACTCGCTGTGGGAAAATGTATGTGGTCGTGAATGTGAGTGCAGAATCAGAGGTCAGCAGTGTGCTGGTGTTCAAGGGGGATCAAGCGTGTTAACAGAGCTGCTGGTGCGGACCAATCCCCAGGAGGGGTCTGCTGGCCGCGTCGTGTAACTGAGCTATCCCGTCTCTGCCCGCTCTCAGGAATAACATTCCCCTCCACAGCCTTCCTCTGAGCTCTCAGCCTGCTCTCTCCTGCGCGGAGCCAAGTATAGGAGGAGTCTCCTTCATGTGGGAAACTGGTTTTCTCCATGAAGGGCTGCAGTGCTTTCCAAGCGTTAGGATGTATGTGCAATTTTCAGAAAACCTTGAACTATAGGTGAGTCAGTGTGATGCTGCTTACCTCTAGATGCACTGAAAGTTGAATTGTTGCATGATAAATGACAGCTTGCTTTGGAAGCCACAAAGCCTGACTAGTAGAGATGGCAGCTGAGGTCACAAAAGACCTTAATTCTGTTCGAACCTGTACCTCATATCCACAGACATACAAACACAGGCACAAGCTCCCATAACCTTCCAGGCATAGTCATTCTCTCCCTCATGCTTGTAGGGAATGGAAGGGCTGCTGTCATGAAAGATGACAGACACTCTCCTGCCTTTGTGTTTGTGGAGCATGATGGACAGCTTTGACATCTTCTCTTCGGTCAGGCATTGCTCTAGCCGCCTCATTCAGGAAACTTCACTCAGTCAGGCCCCTTCCCAGCCACCCTTTCATCTTTCCTCCTCGATGGGAAGACTCACACATGGTCAGGTATCTCCCCAGCTTCCCCGCTTATCCTGCCTCCTCAACGGGGAAACCACACAGGACTAAATCAACATGTCCAGACAGGGTACCACTTCCCATCCCAAGGCACAGGCCGTGTTCAGAGTAAAACCACTTCCTCCTGCTTGAGAACATCCGCTCCTGAGTTTGAAATGACGAGGCCATACGAAGGGGTTCCCTCGAATTGCCTGTCAAATCCAGGGTATGGTGAAATTCTGGGAATCTTCCAAGACGCGTACAGCCATATGTTCTTTGCATTTTCCCTGTCCATCTTACTTTGGCACATCTCCCCTCTAGGCTCAAAACACTGATCAGTTTGTAGCACTCCAAACTCCCATAAATGTAGGAAAACGCAGGCTACCTATTGGGATAAAAGGCTCAGGCTTTAGCTTTCTTTATTGTTAACATGGAGAGAAATACTTGTCACCATATTGGCTGACTTTCTGTCAGTTCCAGGGCTTAACTTCCCTGGAATTGAAAGGTCCTTGTGAGAGCTGTTACTGTGGATGTTTCTTCAAGAGATAGACCTGTAATGAGAAGACCTGTATCTCCATGTCTTTGTTAATCCAGTTATGGAATGTAGACTTTTCTGTTTTGCCTTTCAAAATCCATGTGCACACATTGTAAAAGACTCTCTGAAGGTCAAAATCATTCACATCTTTTATATCATGGAATAGTTATCATACTTGCCTTGTCCATCTGTGCTTGTAAGACCTTGAGTTTTAAAGGGATCAGCTTTGACATGTCTTGTCTCTCACACTGGGGTGTCGATCTGCAAAGATCACATAACACGTGCAAGATTTGTTTCTGAATGACACTTGCTGTAAAGTTGAGGTAACCAGCCCCTTCCACAACAGAAACTACAGAAGATCTGCTTTTTTAATTCCTCTTGTTCCAGATTTATTTAACACTTTTATTCACACTGCAGGGAGTGTAGGGCTCTTGTAAGACCTCAGCTGTTCTAAGTAATCCCTGAATCTTTTTTTTCACACCTAAGTCTCTCCAAGACAGTTTTGACAGCTCCTCTGCCATGGAGTTTTATGTAACACTGAAGGAAAATACAGTAGAGTTATAGCAACAGCTGTTCTCGGGAAGAAAAAAAAAAGAAGAAGAAGTGCATTCCTGATGGATTTCTCATTTAAACTCTTGGCTGGGATCTCTTCTTCCCACAACTTTCAAGCCTGCCGCTCCTTGTAAAATTTTCTGCATATCAGAGAGTATCTCTCACCCTCCCCTGGGACCCCCTGCTCCAGCACCAACATTAATCAATCAAGAGCTCATAAAAAGGCCTGAGCAGTGCTCTTTCCCTCTTGCCCTTCCTCCCACTCAATCTGTGCGTTCTGTGACTCCAGAATACTCGAAGAACGGTTGCATTGGAATAATGGCTTCCACATATGCCTGTGTATCTTATAGAGCTGAAGGAGACAGATATCTAAATGTTTTGTTTCCCTCATACCGAATGGCTGATATTAAAAGCTTTATATATGCTGTAAAGATCTATTTCATTATCCCGTATCAAAAACTGGACATGAGTTAGCTTTAGAAAAATGAATTGTCTTAGATGTGGTCCTGTTTGTCGATTCAGCACCGAAACATCATCATGTATCTGAGGGAATTATTCTTAATTCAGGTTTAAGTCTTTTATATTTTAACCACTTGTAACTTTCCACTCTAACGGTTGTGAAAGTATGTAGTTCTGCTCTTGTCTATTTATGCTGTATTGTCAACTTATGTTATGTTGCAAGGCATGACTGCCATATGTTCCTGGCAGGGTTACAAAAACAATGGGGAACTTGCTTGATTGCTCTGCACGTGCACAGCCAATGTCAAATCCCTTTTATGGACAAGTTTTACAGACCTTACTGTATAAAAAGACCACTCTTTGTAATAGTTCTTTGAGTCTGGTCTGCAAGAGCTAGGCTCCCATATGCATATGTAATAAAGAAGACTTCTGCTACACGGACACCCAGATTGCTGTCATTTGTTTG